AATCTGAACATTTTTTAGCAAGGTAAGATCAAATGATGCCAATGTTCTCAAGCATAAGAATCAATATATGGGAACCATACTCCATCTTCAAAACCCTCTTTCCAAATCATATTATCTTATTTTAATTTAACCTATCTCACCCATTAAGCAGCACTGAGAGATTCCTATATATCTTCTACATCATTAAGCATAGCTGACCAAGTGATACCTCTTACTAAGGTACAAAAGATGCACAACGACATGCCAATTTCCTCTAACCTAAGAATATTTAAATAGAAAAGAAAAGTTATACAGTTAAAACCAAAACCCATATATGTTTTCATCGAAGAAAATAAACAGACCAAATCTAACAACTAAAAGCATTGACAAAAAACCTAACCTCAGTTTAAAGTAAAATGTAAAACCCAAAATATCAGAGGAAGAAAATAATCTATATTTTTCATTCATAAAGAGAAATAAAGAAATAAAGAAAACCCTTCTTTAACCATGTGATTAAGCTCAAACATCATGACCACAAACACTGTCACCAACACCAACAAAAAAACCCCTTTACCATTCACACAGGTTCAATCATCCCATATACCACATTATTACAGAGATTTTGAGGAAAAAAGTCAACAATTAAAACTCACACTAAAGACATCAGCTCATTCATATCAAACACGCACAGCATATAACATTATAAGTCAAAACCAAATTCAATCAAACATAACAGTATTATTAGATATCATAAGATCATTCAAATTAATTCCACCATTTCTTTTCAAGCATTAGCCTTAAGCTGTGCAAGCCACCTTGACAAAATCATCCTCATCAACCTTCTCCTATATCTTGGTTGACACAGCAAGAGCAGCTGGCTATGGCAACCCAAAAGAGACCTCCAACCCATAATCATCAGCCACTTGCTGCATCATGCTATTGACCTCACTTTCTGGTGTGGATAATAAAGTACAGCCAGCCATAGCACTCTCCATAAAACTTTGCCTGGACCTTTATATTCACAAACCACTTCTCGAATTGATCTATTGTCTTTGACATTTTTGCAAATTGCTTGCAACACAAAAAAAAAAATCCCTCAAAATTGACTATATTCACATCAAAAATAATTTATAAAGAAAAAACCAAAAGAAGAAAAATTATATAAAAAAATTAAAATAATTTTATTTTAGGTTAATATCTCTATAATATTTTTGCTTTCGGTTAATTTATCCAAAAATGTAATTTTTTGGAAAAAATAAACAAATGTTCCAGATTTCAAAAAACTCAAACATCTCAAACATTACCAACCCCCAATGGTACTGTAATTAGAAACAAAAAAGAAAAGAACAAAAAAATTTTTTTTTTTTGAAATCTAATCTAAAATCTAATGTACTAGTATCATCAAAATTGAAAAACTAATAAAGAAAAAGAAAACAATGAAGAATTAAACAAACCCACAATGAATGATAAATTTTATTATCTTAGCAAATCAAAATCCAAATTTTATAAAAGGAAATAAAGAAAAATACCCAAAAGTAGTAATGTTAGTGAATGGGTTGGGTATCCTTCCATTCACACCACCAACCACTAAGGCAATGAAAATATCAAGTTGGGCAAAAAGTGATGCAACAAACGAAAAACCTTTGCTAAATAGAGCAAAACTTGAGAAATCAACAAATTAAGTAAAACAAAGATAACAATAAAAAATAAACAAAAAAGAACACATGCAAGAAAATTTTCAAACCAAAATTACCCAACTAATCTAAAAATCATTAAAAAAGTAAATTTTCTTAAATTCAGATATAGTTTTACCTAATAAAATTGTTATTCCGAATGATAATTCTGAACAAAAAAGAAAAAATAGGAAAGTGGATCCTGTAAATATAATAATCGTCACCAAAAAAAGCCCTAAACCCTTCTACAAGCTTCACCTTGGGGCGCCAATACATCACACTTATGTTGACCAAAGCCTTGACTCTACCAGGCCAGAACTAGCAATACTAAGCAATCACCGCACCACAATCATGTTCCACCAAAAACACTCGGTCAACGTCAAATGCATTGAAGAGGCCCACGAGAGCCCCCACGATGTGGAATACAGTGTATGAATCCACTAAGTGAAGGGAATCAATGTCACCAAACCCACGAAGATCGAGAGTCATGTAATGATACCCGAGGGATGATAGGAAAAGAAGCTGGTAGCACCGAGAGTATGGGTGTAAATGACACATTAGTACTCGTAAATTACTCAGGTTCAATTCGAATAAAATTCGAATTCGACTCAATTATTATTGAGTCGAGCTTGAGCTCAAGTAGTTGACTCATCGATTGAGCTGAGTTCAAACACTCTTATATCCGGCTCGAGTAGCTCACGAGCCTAATCAAGTTTTTATATTTAAATATATTTTTATTATTTTAATTAATAAAATATCTCGAGCTCAAGCTCGAGCACAAATAATTAAACTTTTATCAAATATAAGAATCGAGCTTATTTTTACATATTAATTGAGCCTAATCGAGTGATCTCGAGTAACTTAATTGCTAAGTTATCCCCTAAATACAAAACGAGAAAACTTTTATATTAAGTTATAGATATGTATATAATATAATATTCATTAAATATAATGTAATCTATAATTTAGTCTTTGTTACATTTGTGGTCAAGCAACTAGAAACTATCATAATTTGAATTCATACAATCATTCGAGTAGTGATTTATTTAAAGTTAAAATCTTAATATCTGTAATTTTTTTATCCTAAAGCTCACAACCTCCTTTGTTAAAAAAAAAAAAAACTAAGATACATTAGTACTCGCAAATTACTCGGATTCAATTCGAATAAAATTCGAATTCGACTTAATTATTATTGAGTCGAGCTTGAGCTCAAATAGCTCGACTCATCTATTGAGCTGAGTTCAAACACTCTTATATCCGGTTCGAGTAGCTCGCGAGCCTAATCAAGTTTTTATATTTAAATATACTTTTATTATTTTAATTAATAAAATATCTCGAGCTCAAGCTCGAGCATAAATAATCAAACTTTTGTCAAATATAATAATCGAGCTTATTTTTACATATTAATTGAGCCTAATCGAGTGAGCACGAGTAATTTAATTACTAAGTTATCCCCTAAATACAAAATGAGATAACTTTAATATTAAGTTATAGATATGTATATAATATAATATTCATTAAATATAACGTAATCTATAATTTAGTCTTTGCTACATTTGTGGTCAAGCAACTAGAAACTATCATAATCTGAATTCGTACAATCATTCAAGTAGTGATTTATTTAAAGTTAAAATCTTAATATCTGTAATTTTTTTATCCCAAAGCTCACAACCTCCTTTGTTAAAAAAAAAAAAAAAAACTAAAAACCTATCACGCTCACCCTTCTACCTGGACAATTTTGTTAGCATAAGTCAACATAGTTAAACTATTTGCTTGCCTCTCATCATATTTTACAACCCACTTACCTAATTTCGTATGGAGTAACAGAATTAGGTTAATACTCAAACAAATTTTCAAACTTTATTTCAAAAAGCAAATAAGTCCTTGATCTTTTTATTGCATGAAATTAAAATTATAAAATTTTGTTTTATTGTAATTATATTCATTAAATCTTATAATTGGATAAATAACTTTTGATTGATAAATTTATATAATAGTATTCTCTTAAATGTTTGTCACTTTAACTCATTCAAATGAATCTAAATAAGCATTTTTTACAAATTAAATCATCCAATTAAAAAAATTTAAACAAAAAATTGAATATTTTATAACATCCAATAAAAGTTCATAGTCTTAATTTCAACCTATTGGTCTACTTATATCTCTATTATTTCTACTTCAATCAAACCTACTTTTATATTCTCACAAAATGACTTTATTTTGTAGGATATCTTCTTGCATGATGAGAAACCCATTTTCACATCCTCATATGATCTATACTCATCCTGTGAGCATGCCATATTCTAACCACCCAACAGTCATACAGCATATCTGAATCTATGGCTATCATATAAAATTTTCCTTTCAACATGGCTTCCATCTTATGATCACACAAAACAAACCATCTAATCTATTCTGGTCCTATGAATTACAGCCTTTTCTACTTCTCCTTCCTTAATATAGGCAATTTTAAGAACCTCCTGCTCATCAATTTGAACTTCACCATTATCCCTGTCTATTCCTTTTACTCAAATTCTTCTGTCTGGATCCAGTTTCTAAATATCTACATTGCACAAAGCAATGGTATTTACAAATCAAAATCCAGCATACGTTCCAAATGTGGGATAAGTTATGATTAACAAAAGGAGAACACCATAAACAGTGTCTAGCAATAACACCAATACTGGTTTTAATGATAGTAATAATCTTTTTCAAAAATCCAAAAACATGCTATTCTAATTTTAGTAAGCCGAAGAACAAAGAAAAAATGTGCAGAAGAAAATTACCGGGCTGAATGCAATACATTCATCAAGCATTTGATAGTCCGATCACTGAGGTCTTGTTCCTCTTATCAGACACCCATGCAGGCACTTCATCAGCCAAAGGAGCCCACAGCTCGGGCCTCATGAAAGATATCATTTCCATGTATTCTACTGGTTTAATCTGGAAATCATAATAAAATTTACACAAAATTACAAAGACGACAAAAAATTAATACATCACAGGCAATAAAATGACCAAAAATACCAAAAGACGACCACAAGGGGTCTAAAGACGCCCCGACTTTGTTTGTGCCATTAGCTTCTGAAAGGCATTGAATGAAATCCCTTGGAACAGCCGCAAACCCATATTCATGCAAACCAAGCATCTGGTGAAGCCCTCCAATCTTTGAGATTGTTTTCATTCCAAGCTGCAATATACAAAACATTGAGCAGAGAAGAAAAGGTAAATAAAACAAAGAGTTTGAAAGACAAATAAAAACTTACAAGTGAAGGGGGCTGACATGGAGAAGATGGGAGTCAGGTGAAGGAAGGGAAGGGAGAAGGTCAGGATAGATAAAAAGGGGCAAGCCTTTACGGGTGGAGAGCAGAATAGAAGGTGTATCGATGGGGATAGGGCAGCAATCCAGGTGGAGCACACCTGCCCTTGCTCTTCCGATGGTCCATGCCTTCACCGCGAACTTCATAGTACTGCTGTGGATGGATTTGGAGGTGGAAATGGAGGATCTTTGGGGCAAGGACAGGGTTTTGCTAAGCGGGTTGTTGGTTCTCGGGCATTGTCGTCAGAACGGGTTGGATGGACTTGGATTGGGTTTAGGTCGGGTTAATTTAAGTAAGATGATTTTTGACCCAACTGTCAACGTACTTCTATTTCGCACCCAGTCCTACCATTGTCCAAACCCACAGCGAAGCAACTCTGCGAAAATGGCCGCAATAGCCATTGGCAAATCCCTCCATATTTTCTCTTCAAAGGAATCCCTCTCATTTAGCCCCTTAACAATAACAAAACCAAAAACCCACCACCTGAAATTCACCAAAACCATATGCAGCCCCAATTCTCATCGTCTTCGTCTTGCCATAAGAGCTTCTTCAACCTCCTCCACCGCCCTCAATGACCCTCCTATACCCACTCTTAAAAGTTCCGATCATCAGCTTCGAGTCCAAATCCTCTCTGAATCACTCCCCTACATCCAGAAATTTAGGGGAAAGACCATTGTCGTCAAATACGGCGGCGCCGCCATGAAATCTGCCGAACTCAAGGCCTCTGTTGTCAGGGATCTCGTTCTTCTCTCCTGCGTCGGCCTCCGCCCCGTACTCGTCCACGGCGGCGGTCCTGAAATCAACGTCCTTCTCAATCAGCTTAATATCCCCGCTCAGTTCCATGATGGCCTCCGTGTAACCGACGCCAAGACCATGGAAGTTGTTTCCATGGTCCTTGTTGGCAAGGTTAACAAAGACTTGGTCTCTCGCATCAACTTCGCTGGAGCCACCGCCGTGGGCCTTTCCGGTATGGACGGCCGCCTTTTAACTGCCCGACCCAGCCCAAACGCTGCGCAGTTGGGTTTTGTTGGAGAAGTTGCGAGAGTGGACCCCACAGTTCTCCAACCGCTTGTGGACAACGGGCACATCCCGGTGATTGCTTCAGTGGCGGCAGACGAGTTTGGGCAGCCTTACAACATCAATGCGGACACGGTAGCAGGTGAAGTGGCGGCAGCATTGGGGGCGGAGAAGCTGATTCTGTTGACAGACGTGGCAGGGATTTTGAGTAACCGAGAGGACCCTGGAAGCTTGGTGAAAGAGATAGATATAAAGGGAATGAAAAAAATGATCGAGGATGGGCAAGTGGGTGGTGGGATGATTCCCAAAGTGAATTGTTGTATTCGGTCACTTGCTCAAGGGGTCACCACTGCTAGCATTATTGATGGTCGTGTTGAGCACTCGTTACTTCAGGAGATTATGACCGATGAAGGCGCAGGAACAATGATCACCGGTTAATCTATAATCTACTCTTTTATACGTTCCTATAACTTTCAATGCCTTTTTGTATCAGTTGCTATGGACAATGTTTATTTCACTTGCTGCATCAATCTTGTGTGGCAAGAATAAAACTGGTAATGATGGAAGCTGAACATGAATTTATGCATGAAATTGGAAGCAACTTTGAATTTCAACTTTCTCCAACTTCTTGGCTATTAACTCCGACACGATCCTTTCTTCTTGTATTTGGAATTGGAATTGTTGTTCCAAGACAATTTCAGTGGATACTGTATAGTTTTTCTACCTCTTTAAGAGTATATATGCAAGAAATGTCAGTTAATTTTATGATAGAAGATTGCAGGTAGAGTTGGTCGTCTGTAATCTGTGGTAACTGAGAACAATTGTATAGCATTTTACGTGATTCAACCTAAGTGAACATGCAGACAAGCATTTTAAGTTGTCGTATTTTAACCTGAGGCAAGAGTTGTTAGGCAGTTATGTTATTCTGCAAGTCCTATATCTTCAAACCCATAGGCAAGCATCGCCAAGTTATCACCACTCTCATTTGCATTTCCAACATGTGAGAAACTTGTATCCTATCTTCCTTTTAGTTGCTACCATGAAAAATACAATTTTCAGACATACAAGATGGAAGAAGAAATGAAAATCCAAGATGACACTTGAAAGTTGCAAGTACACATGTATTTATAATCATTATTTCAAA